TATAAAAATTAAACTTTTTAATTTAGGTCAATAAATACGTAAATGTAAAATTACGTGCAAATATTATAAATAAAATTATATATATACTATATATATATATATATATATTAAATGCTCAAATAATATATTATATCAAAACTAACTTTTTATTATTATTTATTTTTCTCTTAAAGTTATTCACATTCTTAAATTTGGTAGAATTCACCAATTATTTTGTATAGTTGTTTTTAAAAAAGAAAATAGTTTTCCAAAAAATTAATTATATATGATAAAACAATTTATTTGACAAATAAATAAAATATTAAAGTTTAAGAAAAAATAACTAAAACAAAATTAATATAAGATTCACTTATTCTTTTCCAATAATTTGGATTTTGTTAGAAATATATTTTTTATAAATAATTCAATTTGAATGATTTTTCTAAGATTAAATATCATATTATTTATTAATATATATATATATATATATATATATATATATATAATATTATTACTCTTATCATAATCATTTATAATTATAATTAACACATCTATATTTTCACTTTATTTTGTAAGGAAGATTTTTTTTCAATTTTAGTATTGTATCTTATTTATGAAATCATAATATACTTTTGAAAAAATATTAAAAATTTATTAAAATTGGATAAGAGATAGAGTTATTTTTTTTAAAACACGAAAGAAATTTCATAAAGTATTTTTTTTCTCTCTTCATTCCTTATTTTTATCTTTTTTCCATATTTTGTTCTTCTCTTCTTTCACTTTGTTTTATTCTTCTAATTAAATATTTATTTAATTGTATTTTTAATTGGAAAAATAAGTGAGAGATGAGAGAATAACAAAAGAAAGTAAGAGAGAAAAAGATAAAGAATGAATAAAGAAAGAGAAAAAAGAAGTGAGGAGAGATAAAATAACAAAAATGAATGAAAGGAAACAAATTACTACATATAAATAATAAATATATTTAATTAGGTAATTAAACAGATATTTATTTTAAATATATTATTTATGATATTGATTTAAAAAAAATAAAAAAAATATTTTAAAAAAACTCATTCACTAGATAAATCATATGTGTGATTATGTTATGTAATGTGAATTATGTATAATAAATTTATTTATTTTTATGTTAATTTTAATTTTCTCTCCATTATTTAATAATTGACTTACGTGAGACATATTAAATTTTAATACTTTTATAAATTTTAATATTTACTTATAATCCTTTTATAAATAATTATTTATTAAATGAAGAATGTGAATCTCAAAATTTTATCATAATTTTTTTAATAAATTAAAATAATAAATATATATATATATATATATATATATATTATTATTATTAATCTTAGTTTTAAAATGATATGAGATGTATGAACAATTCAAACACATGTTTTCTTGTACCATTTTTTATTTATTTTTCTTTTCTTCTTCCTATCATCTTTTCATCTTTGCTCTGGCTTTATGCTACATTTTTCTTGTTATCACCAACTTCATCTATCAGACTTTAATATTATTTTCATTCATGATTGTTGTCATTTTAATAAAAATTCAAAAAAAAATTAAAGATTTTTTTTTAAATCTTACTAATATAAAATATAAATTTTTGTCACGACTTAAGTTGATTAGTATTAAATTTAAGTTTCTCATTCAAAATTTTGGAATAAAAATTTTCAAATAAAAAAATACAATTAAAGCTACTGAAAATAAAAATAATCATTAAAATTTTAAGAAAAAAAAATTAAGTCTTACTCGAGTACTATATATAATAGTATTTTCAACTTTAAAGCTTTTTTTTTGTTTGCGTGCGTGATATTGTCAAACTAATATATAAAGTGGAGAATTTTTCTGTTGGGTCTTCCCGCATGTTTTTTCTATTAAGTAATAATATTAATTTCTATTATTTTTTTTATATTTTAATTAATTTTATCAAGTAAAATAATATATATTGAAAGAAAATAAATATTATAAAATTATAAAAATAAGTATACTGAAGGACAAACTATATTGTATAATTAAAAAATATTTTTACAAATGTGTTCGTTTATGAGATAATTATTAGAAAAAGAAAGTAATAGTGATGTTCTTTGAGTTTTACCTATTTATTTAATGTTTTTAAATAAATATTAGAAAGGATTATAAAATACTTTATAAAATTAATTGTATAAATCAAATAGTCTGTCATTTTCAGTGACGAAGTTCTCCACTTTTGCCTATTGGTCATCAAATTACTGTTTTAAAAAATTATTAACGTTGACCTTTAAAATGCTAATTTCTACATGACCTGCATTTCAATAACATATATTCCTTAAAGACCGGTCAATTTCACACACGGAGTACATAGAAAACGTGAATCACGGTCCAATCTTTCGCACGAAACAAAACTACGCTAGTTTTGTCAAATACAAGGATCCAAAAGTTTTATAAAACTAAAACATTTTATATTTTTAAAGACTAACAATGCATTTAAATAAAAAGTCAATAGAAAAAAAAACCAAACATAAAAAATGAGAGAAGAGGAAACCTCAAATCCAGAGTCACATGGACATGCATAATTCGTAAACATTCAAGGAAAAAAGATTCCAAAGACAACCATCGATTTGTTTCGTAACGATGTCAGTGTTAATTTTCTTAGTGGATGTGGAATCTTGGTCAGATTGAAATGAATGTGCAAAGCACCAACTGACCAGACGGCAACATAACATCAAGAAATGTGTCGAAAATGAGACAGACAAAAGTTTAAAATTTGAATTTTGAGGTTTAGAAGTTTTTTTTTTTAATTTATTGTAAGTTTTAGATATGATTTGTTAAGAAATAAATAAATAAATAAATAATAAATAGTTAATTGATAACTGAGTAAAATAAGAATCAGGTTATGATAATAAATATTATTCGATGGAAACAACTGTTTTAAAAGGAGTAGGTGCTCTTTTTCACATAAATGCATGTTTTCCAATTTTCTATCAACAATGAGAGAAACGAATAAGGAGAAATTTAAAAAATTATTTTTATCCTAATTTTATTTAAATAATTCACAATAAAGAACACAGAGGAGGACAACTTATACAATAGAGAAAAATATATATACTCTCTTCTTTAGACTTACATGGGAATTTATCGAATTCAATATTTTGTCTAGATTTTCTATTTATATAATTAATAAAATATCATTATGATTTTACCTCTAATAGATTTTTTTAATTTATTTTATTTTCTCTCCTCGAACGTGCCATTTATGGGTAAGTCAAACATTACAATCGTGGTGCGTCACACGGAGACTGCGCGTGAATGAACAACTTCATAATTGCAAGTCCACTCCATTTGGTAGTTGGAAATACATCACCGCTCCACCAACGTGGTTAACCATGTGTTTGGTTTAGTTGCAAAGTACGTGCCTACATTTTTTCATGAAATCACATCAAATATAGCTACAGCCGATAGAGGTGTTTGTGTTCATTTAAAGCTTCTCATTGATGTGCATCAGCAAAAGTATTAAATAATTTGTTTGTCATTGATTTAATATTCAAAACATTGTTGAACAAAGTTGTAAGAAATATGGTAAACCCCTTCTACTGAACAGTACACGGAGAACAAGTCTTCTTTGTTTGAGAAGGTTGTGTTGTGTGAAGAGTTCAGTTTCTATGCTCTCTTAATATTAAATGGTAGTAGTTCCCTGTTACTATAACCATCATCATCAATTCCTCATCGTTTGTCTTATCGAGTAAAAAATAACGAGTATTTTATTCACACAGTTGGCATTAGTATTCCCTACTTATAGAATTGTCCAAATTATCACATTAAAGTTTCGGTTTGACGTGAAATGAAAGTTGACCAAATTTTATGTTTTGGGCTGTTGACCATTGACTCAAACAAATAATGAGCATAACCTTGACATACGAGTTCAATCCACACTGCCAGTATGCCCAATTATCTGTAGGCTATTTTTCAAAGTATAGCATCACATTCGTTCAATTATTGAGGTCTTCGTGATATATTATATATTAAGATGACCATAGCTTTTATCTGACTTTTACAGTGAAGATAATGGTTAGAATCTGATCATATCACACTCAAGCACGTACCATTCATACAGCAAACCAACAGCAAACCAACTCTTGCCCTTATATAAGTCAGAAACTGTGCTCGCGCCATGTCACACGAAAAATTTACTAAATGGGTAGGCATAATTACAAAGTATTAGGTGAGATTACATACACATTAAAACAGGGACAATTTAAACTTTATGTAAACCTACGAGAATAATTAAATTAAATATACACTACAGTTTGCAAAGGAAAATTTTGGCTGAGAGACCATCGCCTCCCTATTCTAGTTCCTACCACAGCTAGTGCACCCTTAAGCCAGTTGAAAGGCTTCTTGTATTGTATGTGCCAATTGGAATAATCAGCTACAGATAAACAATCAGCTCTACAACAATTTTTGGTGTCACGTTAAAAATAAAAAATTTGACACGGTAAAAATATGAATTATTCAACTATTAAATTGCTTCATTTTCTCGCTAAAATAAGTATCAGATTAAACAAATCACCATGAAGTATCATATATATGTCCAATTAGAAAATTACATATGCACAAGTGGCCATGTTCAACGGCGATCAATAAGCTGAATGAGGCTTTGAGGCAATTGAGCTCAAATGGTACGTCTCGGTGGAGTGTGGGCATTGGGTAGAGGCCGCTCATAATGAATGTATTACAAAGTGGTCAGTGAAGTAATGACATTCAATATTCTTAATATGCTAAAAAAAGATAAATAGCATTAGATTGGCCTGTTTATTTCATTTGGGTATGAATTGAAAACTAGTGTATTATTCCTCTGGAAGATTTGAGCTCGGTTAAATCATATTTGATCCATTGGGTGGAGAAGCGGAAGTTCAACTAGGAAATGTCAGCATCAAACTACACTACTACTGAAAAATCCTTGAAGATATGTAGTCCAACTGTGCAACACCATGCTTGACAACTGTGGGCGCTACAAATTTCCATTAATTAATCTTTCTGGTGTCAACCATTAGTTTATAGAGAGCAAATCCACCTCGATGACAGCCAGGCATCCTAGAAGCCATGTTTTCTACTTCAATCTGAAAGATAAAACATCATAAGAGTTATGATTCAAGGCTAAAAGGTTGGCTATAGGCATTAAATTTAGAAACAGTAGACTAGCTCTCATAAGAATTTTTTGTCCCAACAGATCCCATTATAACCTAGAGAAAGAAATATCACTAAGCATTCAGGGCTAAATATGTAGCTATGTCAATATCATCAATTCATCATGCTACTGCTGCAAACTATCAAGGGGCTTCCTCTGAAGTCTGAACCCATAATCATTTTGATGGACCTTCTGTCGCATAAGAAAGCAAAAAGGGCATTGCTCATGTCTCTTACTAATGCCACTAACAAAATAGTGCAAATGCTCTTAAATGGAAACAGCCAATAAAAATGAAAATAATCACATAATTATTATTAATAATGGATTTCATGCCAGCACAATAAGAACAAGCTTTAGATTCACCATTGGAACAGCATAGAGCTGAGTCGATTCATAGCCATCTTGTGCGCTAGAATAAAACTGCTGAACTTCCTGTGAATCAAGACTACATTTGATAAAGAAAAATGCAGTCGGTCTCACATTCAAATTCCTGCGAGATATACCAATGAAAGTGGGGGTGCTCTACATGACGAAAATATCAAAATTAGATACTGAGTCTTTGAACCCATTCAATCCCATTCAAAATTAGATACTTAGATTTAATCCGCAATCAATACACACAGAAAAGGTGTATAACAAAAACCAAAACATATAAATCACAAAGTCTACCAAAAAGCTAGCATGCTAGGTGTCTCTGAAGTTCACTAACTTGTAAAGGTAAAACCCATGTATATGGTTTTCTCTCACTATCATCTTAAGGTAGGAATTACGAAACTTACAAGGGATGAAGGTGGCACTCCAATTTCTTCAACTACTTCACGAACTATGCTATCAAACATCTCCTTTGAAACCTTTACGTTAATAGATTCTGCTAACTCCTTGACATATTGATGAGATGTTATACCAATTTCTTGAGGCTGTCAATCATTAATAAAGAAAAATCAATATTAGCCAACTCTATATACAGAATTTTTTAACAGGAAAAATGATTTGCTTCGATTCAGTAATTAATTAATCATTGAATAAAAGACAATACAGTGAAGTAAAAAAGCTGAAAGCGAGATGGTACAGTGAAGTAAATCATTTGCTAGCACTTTCATTTCACCATTGAATACCTCAGGATGGCCTCCAGGGAAAACAAAATGTCCAGGAAATTCACCAACATTAGTACTTCGTTGTAATACTAGTATTTTATTGTCAATTGTTTCCACCACTGCACCATTTCCTAGCGGGCTGGAGGTGTGCTGACAAAGAACAGAATCATCTGGGTAAAAAAAGGATGAGGGCAAAAGATTATGACAAATAAATCAAAACCATTTCATCGGCAAAGAAATGATGGAAGAGGTCGAGGTAGAGCTAGAGGGACATAAAAGCTATGCAATTTTGGTCTTTATAATTCCATCCATTCTTGTTTAATAAAATTTAATCCAATAGATCAAATCAAACAATCAATATACCCAATCTTAGGTGGAAATTAACATGTTTGAATAGTGTTTGATAAAAGCTGTGTATACTTTGTGACTTTGATCATGAAAGTTAACAAGGTGAAAAATTGTAAAGATTTACCTTCCGATGGAACCAGGAACTTTTCCCACAAAGGACTTAAGTTTGTCCCCACAAAAGTCCTAGAAGCAAGTATAACCAATAATTAATAAATAGAGGGAACTAGAACTGATAGGCAAAATTATCGGAGAGAACAGCAATAAGATTCAACTATGCTTAAAGGATGCATTGCAGACTATCCTCCAATGGTTTCAGACAATGCTAAAAATAATTGCACGGCATATAGCATGTGTAAGGAAGAAAAACAATGTAGTAATGGATGCTCACGTGGAAGGTCTAGTGCACAATGAAAAATTCCAACTTAGTTATAAAGGAAGGACTGGTGACATGAATCATGGAGCTAAGGAAGAGGAGTAGAAAGAGAATATCAAATACTCTACTATAGTATTTTGTCAGTTAGGCAATTGGTGGTAAATTCTCTCCCTCTCAGTCCTCCCTAACTCTTCTCTGTCTTAAGAACACCCTTTTCTTCTCAGGTGCAAGGCAATGGAGTGAATTGAGGCTGGAAGCATTTCTGTGTGATTAACAAAAAGCTTTCTCTGTTATATTTGATTTACTGATTATACTATTTTATTGAACCTTGTTATTAACACTAATAAAAAATCCACGGGTCCAGCTTCATATTATTTTGATAATTAGATTTACGTTCTTAAATGTTGCTTTCATTGACCATGGCTGAAAATATAAGGATGAAGACAACGGAGGTAGAGATTAAAAAGCTCTACCAGCTTATGGAAGGATATGTGGAGGCCTGTCCGAACTGAAATTGCTCAAATAAATGAAGCAATTTAGTGCCAACTTGAAGCAATTCAACACAATTAAATCAAGCTTTGTATAACCATAACTCTTCCCATGATTCTTCATCCCAACAAAGTACAACCATGGCACAAAATCACACAATGAACTCCACAGTCCACATCATCAACTGTTCCCAATAAGAATGCACTTTGATATCCTCAGTTTGATGGTTCTAATGCTCTGGGTTGGATATTTAGCATTGATCAATACTTTGTGTTCTATCAGATTCCCAAGGTGCACCAAATTGCCATTGCAGGAATGCACATGTCAGGTTCAGCCATTTTGTGGCTTCAAATCAGCGTTCACAGGCATTTATATCATGGACACGACTGAAACGGTCCATTGAGATAGAGTTCAAACCCTCATTATTTGAATCGCCTCGAGAGTCACTCTTCAAACTCAAACAATGTACTGTCTCAAATTACTATTTTGAATTCATAACCCTAGCAAATTGCATGAGTATTGAATCTCCAAAGGCTTGAGAGATTGTTTCATTAGTGGATTAAACGTGGAGATTAGAAGAGAAGTGAAAGCTCAATGCCCTCCCTCATTGATGTGTGTAGTTTGGTCAAACTTTATGAAGATAAATTTCTCTTCAACCTTCCAAACAACTCCTGGACCCAACACATATGGTCAACCCACATATAAAACACATACAATCCCACAAATTAAACCCACCCCGAGATCACCACTCCTTCCCACCCCACTTCACAAAACTGCAATTAACCCTAACCACAATAAAGTAAGAAGACTCGCAGTAACTGAACAACAAATTAGGAGGGATAAGGTGCTTTGCTTTTGGTGTGATGAGAAATTTTCTGCCCACCACAAGTGTCCTAACAAGCATTTTATGCTTTACCCACTAGAAGAAGTGGAAGATGGCATAGACATAAATCACGAACAAATATTGAATGCTGACCACGGGGATGACAATATACAATCACTTGAACCACAGATATTGGAGCATCAAATTTACTTAAATGCAAGGGGACACTAGAATCAAACACTATCAAACTCAAAGCTTTTGTACATGGTATGGAAGTAGAGGTGCTCCTCGATGGAGGTAGCTCTGACAACTTTATTCAATCGACAATTGTTAAATTTTTGAAACTACGAATGCGACTTGCCCCTAGCTTCAGAGTCATGGTAGGGAATTTTGATGTCATGACAATGGAGGGTCGTCTACCTTCTTTGGAAGACTCAATGCAAGGACATTCTATTCATATTGCTGGAGGGGACCTAGATATAGGATCTACTTGGCTAAAATCCCTTAAAGCACACATGATTATGATGCATTGTTGGTCAGGTTTTTGCATGAAGGGAAATTTACCATCATTGTTCTTAATTGTTCACTCACTGTTCCATACTATTCATGCAACTTTGCTTTAGTTTGTTTACTTTTCATTGTGCACTATTCATCTTTGAATATAAATTCTGAGAAGTGAAAAAAAAAAGTATGATAGTTTTGAAATTTTGAATTTGAATTATATATACGAAAAAGAGAAAGTTAAAAAAAAAAAAAAGAATACAATTGTCAATCTTTATATTAAATGTACATCAATTTTGTTAAAATTCCTCAAATTTAAGTGTCTACTTTAATTTCTTATTATCTTGCATGTTTGTTAGTAGTGAAATTGTTCTTTACTACTTCTCTTTTGTGGATGCTAAAATTTTGTTTTTTAGTATTGTGATTACTAATCTTAAAAGTATGACTCTTGATGGTAGATTGTTTAATTCTTGTAAAAACCTCAAGTAGAGAATGAGTGGTAAAACGCAATGTGATCATGAAGTTTTAGGGGGGTCAAAATCATAAATGCATATGTAAGTTACAAAACTTTTGGGGGATCATGGCCCCCTCAACTCCCAATAAAATCCGTCACTGCAACCATGACTAGATCTTTTAGTGATTTGAATCGTGATATTAGGGATGTTGTGGAGCTGCAAGAGTATGTTAAAATGGAGGATTTGTTGCATAAGACTATTCAAGTAGAACAACTCCTCAAGAGGAAGGGAACTGTGAGAAGGAGTTCTTATAGTAATAATAATTCTAATTGAAAAGATAAAGTTGTGAAGGATAAAAGAGTTTCCTTAGTTCAACCGTGTCTTCACATGGGAAGTCATCTAATAGGTCCAATAATTCACCCCTAAAAGAAATATAAGTGACATCAAATGTTTCAAATGCTTGGGAAGAAGACACTATGTTTTAGAATGCCCAACAAAAAAGAATATGACCGTGTCACCAAATGGAAAAATATATAATGAACCTTCGAGTGAAGGAAAGAAGGAAGAGGAAGAGGTGGAATTAGATGCACTGGAGGGTGATTTGTTGATGATTAGGAGGCTTATGGGATGTAGAATGCAAGCTTTGGACCAAACCCAAAAAGAAAATATTTTCATATTATATGTTCTATTAAAGGAAAAATATGTTCACTCACAGTTGATCGAGGAAATTGCACTAATGTAGCTAGCGCAAGACTAGTTACCAAATTGAATATGAAGACAAAATTCCATGCTAAGCCATACAAATTTCAATGACTTAGTGAAGATGGAGAGATGATAGTAAGTAAGCAAGTGGAGGTGAACCTATCTATAGGACAATATAATGACAAGGTCTTGTGTCCTGTGGTTCTAATGGAGGTAACTCACATTTTTTAGGGAGGTCATGGTACTATGACATCAAAGCTATCCATGATGTTTTTATTTCAAAATCTCTTTTGAGTATCAAAACAAGAAAGTGATTCTCAAGCCTTTGACTCCTAGAGAGGTATGTGAAGATCAAATCAAAATGAGAGAAAAGATAGAAATTGAGAGCAAGAGTGAAACACTTGAGATGAAAAAAAGGGAAAAGAACAAGAGGGAAGCACTTGAGGGCAAACACCCTTGTTTAGCAAGGGAAAGGGAGGATTACCAAGATGTTTTTCTTCCAAATGTACCATATGGCTTGCCGAAAATTAAGCATCACAATGATCTCATTTTTTAAGCTTCTTTGTCCAATTAGCCTACACAAGCAACCCCCGAGAGACTAAGAAAATTGAAAGACAAATGATTAAACTCATAAGCAAAGGTTAAGTGAGAGACTTATAAGGCAAGTGATTGAACTTCAATGACACAACATACCACACCAATATCAAAATGACACCTCTTAAGGTATTGTATGTTAGAGATTCCTATCATTCATCAAATACGAAATTTCGGCAAAGGATGATCATACACTGCAAGAAATATTGGACAAATGAGATAGACTGCTACACCAATTGTGAGCTAATATGAGTAAGTCTAGTAATTCAAGAAGGAGAATTACTACTACTTAAGCTCCATCCTACATACAAAAAGAAAGCAGCAAAAAATTGGTCTCGGGTACTTTGGCCCCTTCAAGATTAGTCAGAGTCTAAGTTCTATAGCTTATAAATTAGAGTTACCACTAGAAGCAAAAATTTATAATATATTCCACTTCTCATTGCTTAAGAAGTTTAAAGGGGATCACAAACAACACTACTTGTAATTGCCACTAAAGACTGAAGAATGTGGACCAATAATATCTCTTACTACCATGATTGATAAAAGAACAATTTTGTTCGATGGGAAAAAACTATAACGTTTACAAGTGCAATGGGAGGAAGGAGCAAATTCTTTCATCACTTGGGATACAAGGTATATCCAAAATTGAATCTTGAGAACAAGGTTGTTTCATATGGGGAGGATAATGTAAGGAAGAAAAACAATGCAATAATGGATACTCCCGAGAAAGGCCTAGTGAATGGTTGAAAGTCCCACATTGCTTGCCTCATGTCATTTGGTATGGCTTAAATACATGTTAGGTTACTCCACATATTGCCAATTGGTTTTATGTTGAAACTTTAACATGGTATCAGAGCCCAAACCTAACATCTTTCTGATTATTGTCTTGGGCCGAGAGTTGTCCTTTCGTTGTAGGTCAAAAGTACCCTTTTACCTGGTCCGGCAGACTTCGTTGGAGGGTGTGTGTTGAAAGTCCCATATCGCCTGCCTCATGTCATTTGGTATGGTTTAAATACATGTTAGGCTACTCCACATATTGCCAATTGGTTTTATGTTGAAACCTTAACATGGTATCAGAGTCAAAGCCTAACAACATTCCGGTTATTGTCTTGGGCCAAGAGTTACCATTTCATTATGGGTCAAAGTACCCTTTTGCCTGTTCCGACAGGCTTCGTTGGAGGGGGTGTGTTGAAAGTTCCACATCGCCTGCCTTATGTCATTTGGTATGGTTTAAATACATATTAGGCTACTCCACATATAGCTAATTGGTTTTATGTTGGAACCTTAACATGAACAGTGAGACAAATTCTATGTTAGTTACACTTGAGAGAAAGGGAGGACAGGTGGCATAAATCATGGAGCTAAAGAAGAGTAATAGAAAAAGAATATCAAATACCCTATTACAGTAGGCAATTGGTGGTAAATTCTCTCCCTCTCTCTTCTCTGTCTTATGAACTTCTCTAAACACCCTTTTCTTCTCTGATGCAAGGCAATAGTGTGAATTTGAGACTGGAAGAATTTCTATGTGATTAACAAAACTCTTTCTATGTTATAGTTGATTTAGTGATTACACTATTGTATTGAACCTTGTTATCAGCACTAATAAACAAAACACAGGTCCAACTTCATATTATTTTTAGAATTAGATTTCCGTTCTTACAGCATGTCAATCAGCTTATATAATATACACTATGAAATTTTTAATACATCAATCATGCACGTGTTTTTGCAGCCAAGCTAGACAAAAGGCTGATCTTTGAATAGGAAAAAAAGTGGATCTGCGGGTCCCATATGAATTGGCTCATTCGAAAAAAGCCCTCGTCATTGTATAGATGTTAAATTCAGAAAATATGAACTATTCTAAACCTATCAACAATAAAGGCATATTAGAAGTCATGAATATGAACAATGAGAAAGATACAGGTTAAGATCGTTAAAGTATCCTCATGAAACTGAAACTATAATTAATTTGTTATTCAAGATTACCAAATCATTATCATCCTATCAATATAACTACCCATGGTAAATAAAAAACATAACATTTAAACGAGGAGCACTGAGATCATACCTATAATCTGTCAAACCTAGGTGGAGGCATAAATGTGGTTCACGGTCGGATCCATTTCCTGCGTCCAAAGCACAGCCTCCATACTGTGTGATATTTGCAACAAGAAAAGATAGAAATGCTGTGTAAGGGATCGTCCTTCACAAAGGAAGTGGACAGGGCCTCGAATTTCACTCTAGCTAGAATAAAACCTCTCAGATACGTAACATGACATTACAAGAAAACAGAAAGGACTAAAGTGAAAGAGATTGAAGTCATTAGATTATATCGTGGAATATAATATGGATAAATAAACATGGTCCGACCACATGTTCCTTCATATAGCATTATCGATTATTAAACATTAAAACCTCTATTCATAATATATAACATCATTAAGATTCCAAATAATCAGAACAAGGGGCCATCAATAAATATTTGTATATACTACGACAGTAGTTGGTAAATCTTCAGAAGTTTACCAACCGGAATCTAACGTAATAAAAATATATTCTTAACGTCCCTTGAATGTAAGGTTATAAATAACCAATGCCAAGTGTTATCACTTCAATTGTGGTGAAGTAATTCCAGAGAAGGTAAGAATATCTCATTACCCTAAACTTCTTCCCATTGAACAGTGAATTGTTCTTCTGACTCCTCTGATCCCATATCTGCCAACGGAAACAGAATATAAGTGGAAAAGAAAGCAAAATAAAACGAATGTTCACGAATATGATCGACCTCGAAAATCGTGTTCTCCAAATTGACGTCAGAGTGAGCGATGCGGTCGTAGGCGTCGCTGAACGCCACGGAAACCTTCAAAAACAGAAAATGTTAGTTAGTGAGGCGCGTTTGAGGGAAATGGTGAGGGTTGGGAGTGTAGCGAACCTGTGATGGTGAAAGACCAGAAGGAGACGACGCTAGAAGCGTGAAGGAAGAAGGATCTGTGCTAGTTGCATCCATCGCAACGTCGTCGACGAAACCTTACCGAAATTCGAACTCCAACTCGGACAGGATTTCGGCTTCGTCCAGAGCTATAGGGCCTGTTGAAAGATGACATTGGGTTCTAATTTGGGCAACGTTGGGCTTCTTCTTTTTTCAACCCAGGGTCGTGTTTCCTCCACTTTCATAATTTATACTTGCACCTCTATTTAGGAATATAATATTATCTTTGCAAGTTTTATTTAAAATCGGTTTGAGAATAATGTTTGCTGAGAATTTAGGTAATTAGTAATTCAGAAATTTATTTTGAAGTGTTTTAAAATTATTCATCCAAAATATTGTAAAAAAATATATATAAATTTCAAAATGAATAATGATATGTGAATATGGAGAAAATGTTTTGGATTGGTAGATAAGAAAATGTTTGCTGAAAATTTACGCAACCAGTGATTCAGAAATCTATTTTGAAGTGTTTCAAAATTATTCATCCAAAATATTGTGAAAAAATATATATAAATTTCAAAATGAGTAATGATATGTAAATATGGAGAAAAATATTTTGGATTGTGTTAGTAGGAAATCGAGAAGAAGCAATCGAAAATGAAGGAAAGGAAAGAGAACACGTGGTCGATAAAAAACCATTCGATGTCTAAAGCACGTAACACATAACATCGAAAAGTATAATTGAGGATCGAAGGAATGATAGTCAAATACCTAGTATCGAAACCTAAGAAACTAAAATGATGAGACGTTAAGGTTGAAAAGGAATCGTAAGCAATTCGAAGTTCTCGAAAGTGTAAAATCGAAAATGAAGAAAGCTAACCTACATGGACATCGAAAACTTTGGCCAAACCATAAAGAGAAGAGTAAATCAAACGCACGGATAGAAAGCCGTTTCGAAACTATGGAGGAAATCAAAGATCGTGAGAACGTGGGAAACCGTAGAGATAAACCGCCATATGCACGTAGAACGTGGTAGCAGTCGTGTTAACTCGCTCTTGAAAGATTTTAACGAGGCACTATAAATAGAACAAAGAAAAAAGAAGGAGGCGAAAATTGGCGGAGAACATAATCGAGAAGTGAAAAGTCTACCGGAGAAACGACGAACACCATGAAGCTTCGGCAATCTGGGTTTCCTTGCTCACCGAGTACATTTACCGCTTTCGTATTTTCCTTGGTAATTTACTTTAATGCAATTTAAATTCAGTAATTTTATGTTTCGTACTCTCGATTCTTAGTCATTTCAATTCAATGAAAGTTTAAGTTTCGTATTTTCGATTTCCTGTCATTTACTTTTCTTGCAATTTCGATTTATTGCCATTTACATTTCTTGCACATTTCGATTTCTCGCCATTTATATTTGCACTATTTTCGATTCCTCGTCATTTACAATTAATGTAATTTTGGGGTTTTTGCACTTTATATTTTCTTGTAATTTAATGTTCCGTTTCTCGATTCGATACTTTCATCGTTTTCGATACTTTAAATACAAAATACCAAAAATAGTTTTCTTGATATCTTGTGATTTTCGATCCTCATACACGTTTTCGATTGAAAGTCGATCGCTAGCCTAAGTAAAAAGAACTTACGTGGGAGGATTTCGATTAGGACCATAATACCGTTTAGAATCGAAATCGATCGAAATTCCACCGAAACAAATTGGCGCGCCAGGTAGGGGCTCTTGTGTCGAGAAACACAAAATTGGTTAGTTCGAGAGTGTATGAGATTAAGGAGTGGGAGAGTCATGAGTCAGAATTCATCAAGTAACCGGAGTAACGAGTGAGGAATTAAATGGGCCACACCCACCAAATACTCGGGAGCAAAGCCGTAATGGGAACACGCTCGTAGTATCGACAACCGTAAATATGTCGATACCCGTGAGTAATGAATAAAATTCGAGCACTTTAGCGAATACTCAAATAGGATCTAGTGTGGTTGCACCAAATAATATACAAACTATGGGAAATACCACAACCACATATGTAGGACCACGTATGAGTGTAAGACCGCCCGGGTTTTCACTTAATAATGTGAGTGGGGCTGGAACTTCTTCAACACATAGGAATTCGAGATATAACTTAGGAATGTCCCAAACACTAGGTATGCCGCTAAATTTTGGAATTCCTCCGAATTTAGGGACATCTCAAAACTTAGTAATTCCCGCATGAGGAGTGGACGTAATGTGGGCACACAACAGTATATCTCCAAATCTAGATCATAGGGGAAACTTAGAGCATGGGAGACATGTATTCGATAGAGACTATCATCGATCTAATTTTGATTCTATTGAAAACATGGGTACCTGAATATCTAGTAATTCATTAGGGGTACTTAGACAACAAATGGATGAGAGTAATTTTGAAATGGTAAATATGTTATCACAACAATTGACTACATTCTTAAATCCATTAAGTGCAAAACACTACTGCTAGTTTTGAGATATTAGCGGACCAAATGTCACGAATCTGGGATGCATTAGCCGTGCCTCGACAAACGAGGATAGAAAATCATGCTAATCGGGATACTAATATCAATCCCCCGTATCTATTGAGGAGAAATAGAAACAATGATCAACATCAAGCATATGGGAAATGGGTACCAACACGTGAGGAATGACATTTATGGGAATTTGAACGAAGGATTTCAAAACATACACCATCGAATAACATGTTGGGACAAAGGATGAATTTACAAGGGATGAAATTTAGGCCACCCAATCCAACGTATTTTGTGTCACCTTTCCCAAATGCGATTCTCGAGACGAAATTACCTCGAGGATACAAAGTACCCAAATTCACTAAATTTGCTCGGAGAAGTTGGTGAATCGACCATCGAGCATATAGCTCGATATCGATCGAATGTGGGGATTTAGCGATGAGTGAAGAATTAAAGATGAAATATTTTCCTAGTTCTTTAACTAAGAATGCTTTTACTTGGTTCACTTCGTTGCCACCCAATTCGATATATAATTGGTTGCAGTTAGAGAGAAATTTTCATGAACAATTCTTTAGAGGAGAGACTCAAGTAAGTCTCATCGATTTGATGAACATAAAACGATACAACCATGAGAGTATAGATGATTATCTAAATCGATTTAGACAAATGAAGTCGAGATGTTTTACTCAAATTCCCGAATACGAATTAGTCGAGATAGCTTCGCGAGTTTAGAATTCTCGATCAGGAAAAAATTAGTCAATTTACCACTGAATGACATGGCTCAATTAGCCGATAAAGTGAGAAGAGTGGAACAAATAGAGTATGAGAAACAAATGTATAAGAAATATGAAAAACCTTTAAAAAAGGAAAGAATAGCGTACATAAATGATGTATATGAGACAGATGATATGACAGTAGAATGATATTGAAGAAACTGTCGATGAGAAAGTAAACATAGCAGTAACTCAAAGTAGGGGCTCCATATACTTGTAAATTGCTACAAAAAAATGAAGTAAAAGATAAAATGACAAATCGAACATATACTTTTGATGTAACAAAAGCGGATAAAATCTTTGATATTTTATTGAAAGACAAACAGATTAAGTTGAGTGATGATCATAAACTACCGTCTGCGTAACAAAGGAATGGTCGAAAATATTGCAAATATCATAATGTTTATGGACATTGGACTACCAATTGTATACATTTCAGGAACACAATCCAAGATGCGATCGACCAAGGAAGGTTGAGGTTCGAAGAAACGACAATGAAAGTTGACACGAGTCCATTCGAGGCTCAAGTAGGATACCTCGAATCCCAAACGGGCATTACCGATGATGTCCGATTAACAAATTCGGCCTTTATAGGCATGGTAGATGTCATCGAAGACATCGATCCTAAGCATGTCGGATGGATGTATCTCGAGGAAGATATGGAATTTGACCCGAGTGAATTCGAGAAAGAGTTCGAAAAGGAAATATACCCTCGATCAGGAGATTCTCTCATTGAATTTTTGAATAGAAAGAAGGAAAAAGACGAAGATGTGTCATTATGCCCACGTTGCAAGTGCAGTGTTCGATAAATCGACTGCCAAAGCTTTCGAACGTAACGTATGAAGAAGATCGAGAACCAAAATAAAAGGAAAAATGACAAAGTAGATCAAACAGATCCGACCAACGATCGAAGAAAGTCGCAGAAATCCGTTGGCTCGGTGTTAGTGAAAATCGAGGCAAGTGGATTAGAAGAGAGATGTATCCTTCTCGAGGAGGAAGAGGTAGACTTCAAAGTAATGATGTCTTCGAAAGACTCTCGTATGATGATGGATCGACCACTAGATTCCCAACATTCCAAAGAAGATTCCGAGGAAGGCCCCGGAGAAGAGGAGGAAGGATCCCCTATTGGAATAATTACAAAAACTTTGAAGAAAATGTTGCACCGATAGAGAGTCATTATGCAAGAGAATTTTTCGATGACAAGAATGATGGTACTTGGAACGAACATCAAATCTGGGTAATATCAATTTTACTCGCGGAATATGTTAGCGAATACAAAGAGTACCAAGAACAAAGAGATGTTGAGCGAGAAGATGACTTCTATTCGTAAAACATAAGGCCAAAAATAACATGGGTAACACAAACCTCATGTGAAGTTCCTCATAGAGACGCCGCTTTCATCGATCCCCCATCTCGAGGAAATGAGGTTCCATTTGAAACCGTTATTACCGAACATCGAGATTCAAGGACAGATGGTGAATAGAGTCCTTGTCGATGGTGGAGCAACAGATGAATATACCGCCAATTACTATGCTAAAGAAATTTGGCATTGAGCTAAAAGACTTAGTCAAGCACAATATTATGATTTCCGATTTCAACGGAAAGACGTCAAGTTCGAAGGTATGATTGCCTTAGACGTAAAAGTAGGCACTTACTCGAGACCTACCGTGTTTGTTGTGGTCCAGCCGCATGCCAATTTCAATGCATTACTTGGCAGAGAGTGGATTCATGGAGTCTGAGCCGTGCCTTCGACAACTCATCAAAAATTATTTATGTGGAATCGAGATGGACATCTCGAAGTAATCCCAGGAG